GCCTTAAATAATTTAAAGCAAATAAAAGTTAAAAGCCTCAAGCCCCCCAAACCGACTTGGGAATGTTAGTTAAATGCAGGAAGCTTAATTTACTGTTGGAAGTTGTTTCCATAGCAATGTTGATACAAAAAAATATAAATCATTTAAAGCAACTGAATTATAACGGCGCCAATTGTAAGAAGACATTACAAATTAGTTTAATTGGAAATTGCATGCAGATACCATTTAAGTGCTGTATGAGAACTTGGTTTGGAATATTGCATGAGTTCTTAGTGTATGCTTTCTATTTATAGAAGGAAAAGCTTACAGAAGACTTGATTTCTTTTTTCCTACACCTATGCTCTCATTTATGGTTTATATTTATATTTTAATTTCCATTTTATATTGTATTTAGAGTTTATATTTTAATTCTGTTTCTGATGTTTAACCTCCAACACAGTTATAATACCTTCAACAGCAGCTACATGCCCTGTTAAGTGTTACAGCGTCTAAGATGCAGAATTGTTTCCTGAGACAGAAAATGGTTTCTCCTTTTCTAAGTGCATCCTAGCAAAAGGCAAAAGAAATAGACCTGTGACTGGTGTCGTGGACAGAGAACAACTAGGTGAGATAAAGAGCAGCCTTGTCCTTCTGTCCCTTGGTAAAACCCCCAGATGATGTCAAACCATCAATTACAAACACTGAGAAGACAGCATGTTATGCTCTTGAAATATAAAATAAAAAATTAAGAATACAAATAAAGTCACATTTAAATCAAATAGTCTGCAAAGAAGAAACATGCTATGCCCTGTCCCTAAAATAAACTGCTTTATAAATCAAACTTGAAGCTGAGGATTTAGCTCAGTTGATAGCACACCTAGTGTGCATTAACATCTCTGGCATCACAGTGGTGGCACAATGGTGCACACCCAAGTGAGGGTTCAGGAGGATCAGAAATTCAAGCTCATCTTCAGCTACAAAATGCGTTTGAGACCAGCTGGGCTATTTGAAACCTTGTCTCAAAAAAAGGAATTTTACTACATTCCTCACTGATTGTTTTAAATATATGAATACCACATCTGTAGACTGAAATAGGTAGGTAGAGACAGATACACTCATAGCTGCTTTCTCTTTGTCATTGAGCCTGGAGAGCAGAAAGTGGGGAGAGTTTGGGGGGGCTGGCTCATCTGCAGAATAGCTGCCACCATCTTCAAGGGCACAGCTCTATGAAGTCCCAAGGCAACGAATGGTTGGGCCAACAAACTTACAAATATGTGGTTATTCCAAGAAGCCTCTCAGTAGCTTAGCACTGGCCTTTACAAAACACCAGCAGCTTTCCACAGCCCATGTTTCACTTTCTGGCTTCTTTTACTATATTTACAAGGAAAACATGGGCAAACCTTTTCCAGATTCCAGTTCAAAAGGCAATCTTCAAAATCCTGCACATAACTTTAATTTATTAGGGAGACTTTAAAATCATAAAAATAATCGGGCAAGCTTAGTCCTGTTTACCTAGGTCAGATGTCACAATAATAAGCTGACATTGTCATGCAAAGGCCATCGCTGACGTTGGGACGCACCCCTGATGTACACTGTATAGGTGTGGACGCATGCATAATGACACGTGTCCATGTTTATAACATTGCAGAGAAGAGTTCCGCAGCCCTAAACATCCTCCGCTTCGTCCGGTTACCTCTCCCTTCCTTTCAGCCTTGTCAGCCACTCATTCTTTTCCCTTTTGTGGTGATTTCCCCTTTGTAGAGGGCCATAGACTTGGCACACTGTACACAGCCTTTTCAGATTGGCTTAGATTCCTCCATGCTTGTATAAATCATGTCTTTTGGGTGCTGAGTAATATTCCATATGAATGTAGCACAGTTGGCTTGTTCATTCACTTGCTAAAGGTCAGCCTAGTTGTCTCCAAGCTATGGCAATTACCAATAAAGATAATTGTGTCCTTATATAGGTGTTATGTAGAATTAAGTTTTGAATTTTTAACTTGTTTTAGCTATCTATTTTTCAAGATTTATTTACTTTACTTTGTGTATGACTGCTTTCCCTGCATATATGTATATGCATCACCTTGTGCCTGGTGCTTGTGGATGCCAGAAGAGGGTATCAGATCCTCTGCAACTGGAGTTACTAATGGTTGTGAGCTACCATATGGGTGATAGCAACTGAGTCCAGTCTCTGCAAGAGCAACAAGTGCTTTCAACTGCTGGACTGCTCCAGCCTCTGAATTTATTTTATTGTTTATTCATGTGTCTGTATGTGTGCACCCATGTGCCTGCATGTGGGTGTCTGTGCCAGAAGAGGGCACTGGAACCCCTCAAGCTGGAGTTGTAGGTGACTAGAGTGCTGGAGACAGAACTTTGGTCTTCTGAAAGGGCAGCAAGCTCTCTGAATCACTGGGCATCTCTCCAACCACTGGAATCAAGTTTTAAGCCATTTGGGCAAACATCAAGAACTGTTCCTGAGTGTACAATGAGATGTTCAATGGGTGTACGTGAAAGTGTGTGTAGCTAGAATTTTCCTGCCTTGCCCACAGTCAGGAAAAATCCCTCTCACCCGCCAGTCCCACAGCCATTCAGACCCAACCAAGTAAACACAGAGACTTATATTGCTTACAAACTGTATGGCCATGGCAGGCTTCTTGCTAACTGTTCTTATAGCTTAAATTAATCCATTTCTATAAATCTATGCCTTGCCATGTGGCTCGTGGCTTACCGGCATCTTCACATGCAGCTTGTCATGGTGGCGGCTAGCAGTGACTCCTTCTGCCTTCCTGTTCTTTCTTTTCTCCTCTCTGTTAGTCCCTCCTATACTTCCTGCCTAGCCACAGGCCAATCAGTGTTTTATTTATTGACCAATCAGAGCAACACATTTGCCATACAGAACATCCCACAGCAAGTGTGTTTGGTTTTTTGAGGACTGCTGTGCTGCCTAGAGTGTCTCTCTCTTTCCCATGGCCTCAGCAGTGAATGGCAGCTTCTGTGCTCATCATCCTTACGGGCACTTCATGTCTCCAGTATTTCAGATTTGGGCCGCTCTGAAAAGCACATTGTAGAATCACATTGTCACCCTGATTTACAGTTTTCTAATGATGTGACAGGGAGCATGTTCTCCTATGCTTGGTTTCCATCTGTACATCTTCTTTGGTTGTGTATCTGTTCAGGTCTTTAGTGCAGTTTTGAATCAAGTCATTCTTTTTGTTGCTAAGTTAGAGGCATTCTTTTTAGATGCAAGAGAATAACCCATTGGCAACATGGCTTTTGCAAATGTTTTCTCTTGGTCTGTGACTTTGTCTTCTCAACTTTCTAAAGCCCTTATTCCCCAAATAGATGAACGCCGGTATCAAATGCTAAGGTAGACTCTTGCCATGTCCCTGCTAGTTGTCTACTTCTACGGTTCTTTGTTGTTAGCTGTTTTTATTATTTACAGTGGCTGTCCTTTAAGCAATGGCTGTCTCAATCAGAGATTTTTTTTTTATAATTTATTTATTTTTATTTTATGTGTGTTGATTGGTATTTTGCCTGCATGTATGTTTATGTGGAGTTACAGACAGTTGTGAGCTGCCATGTGGGTGCTGGGAATTGAACCGAGGTCCACTGGAGGAACAGCCAGCACTCTTAACCAGTGAGCCATCTCTCCAGCCCCCCCAATCAGAGATTCTAACTCTGCTACTACCAGCAGTGATTAGGCCTGCAAGGGCCGCAGCCTGAGGCGATTCTGTTACCCTCAGACACCAAGTCTTGCAAAGCTACTGAGGAAAACTTTAGATCTCTATCCCTCTAAATAACTCATGATTCAAAGGTTGAGGAATCCTCCTCACTCAGAGAGGCTGAATAGCAAGCAGCTAATCTCTCTCTGCTGACATCTTCCAAAAAACCCAGCATCCTTCTCTCAGCCTCCACTTAAAGAGCCCTGGCTACATGTGGCTCCTCCTTACCACCTTCTTCCAGCTACTTGCTGACTCAACCTCCTGTTCCCAGGTTAATTTTATTTAATCAAACACATCTTTGAATTGTTAACAAAAGCAGTAGGAAAAAATGCAACACACTTTAAAACAATATTCCACAACAATTCTTTGTGCCAATTCTTTTTTCTTTTAAATGTCTGTGTATGTGTCATGTCTTGAGACCTGTGTTTTGACTTGTGACCTACAGCTTGCTTATTCAGCTAAGCTGG